CACAAACACCCCCACACACACAAATAAACGTTCAGGAACGTTTATTACTCTATATCGTTTCAAAAACACATCTAAAAGTGGACCATGAAAATTTCAACGCATAACCTAGCTTTCGCCAATAATGACAGGATCATTTCTAATCTCCATGATTGAGTCCGAAAGTGGCATACAAGTTATAAAAACATACAAATAAAAATGCAGTCACAACTGTTCTTTTTTTTTAATATTTATCTACCTATTATGATTATGTTTGAAGTGAAGCACAAAGCCACAAAATGGGCTATCTGTGCTCTGCCCACCACGGATATCGAAACGCAGTTTCTAGAGTTGTAGGTCCGCCATGAGGATAAACAACTGATATATTAAATTCATATAATTTTATATAATTCATATAATTCATATAATTAAAATTAAGTACATAGAAATCAATCTTACAGTAATTATCCATTTCACATTTTGTTGTTGTTTTGTTTTTAAAATCTAGTAAATAACATAAAATCAAATCAATAATTATTTATGACTTCTATAAATGTAATTATCAATAAAATATTCACTGTTTTTCAACTAGAATAATGTCCTGTCGCTACTATGTCTAATATTGCCTTTATTATTGTCGCCACATTCCGAAATATTCAACACTTCTCAGAAATTTCTCATGTCCAACAGAGTAAGAAATACCGTTCTCTTCTTTTATAATCTCTGATGTAGAGGTCATCTAGGTTATAGGTTATTATACGAAAAGTAAAAAAAAAAACTTAAACCACCATAGATAATATATACACATCATCATTACAAGAGGCCTAACTGTATTTCTGTGGTTTACTGACCTGATGAGCCTCGAATAGACGAAACTGTAGTCCACAGCAGAGGGTACAGCGAATTAAAGAATGTATTACGTCACAAATTTGATGGAAAAAAAGGAAATTTGTAAATATATTCTATAGATACTTCCAAAAGGGAAGTGCATTGCATATTTTACGTTATACGTGAATATGACTTTTTGGAGTATTCTAATGAAAGCCCACATTATAGTGTGATGCCATTCGAATCCCGTCACCGAACAAGTTTGCCCTTTTAGCCATGGGGACATTATAATGTGACGGTCAATCCCTCTATCCAATTGGAGTAGCCCAAGAATTTCCTAATGATGATATTGATTAGCTGTCTTCAATGTCCTTCCTAAGGTAAGGAGCCCAAGATTGAATATAATATTCCAAATGTGGCTTAACCAGTGATCTGTACAATGAAAGTATAACCTCTTTAGACTTGTATTCAATATTTCTATACATACAACCTAAAATCCTATTTACCCCACCACTAGCAACAGCACACTGCTTGGATGGCTTTAGAGATTGATCACTATTACACCAAGATCACTTTCCTTCATAACACGATTAAGGTTATTCCCATCCAAATTATACTTATAATTCAAATTATTATAACCCACATGCATTATCATACATTTATTATAATTAAAACCCATCTACTATTTATTTGCCCAACTCACTAAATGATCTAAATCTTTTTGTCAATCAGCAGCATCCTCTTCACAGCTAGCAACACCCAAGACCATAATATCATCTGCAAATTTAAGTAATTTATTGACTATCCCTTCATCTGTGTCATTGATGTAAATAACTATATAAGCATAATTTTTTTACATCACAAAAAATAGGGGGTTAGGTCGAACCGTTCTTGCGTACATACGTGTGTGTGTTGGTGCTAGTTTCTCATAATAAAACTTATGTAAACTTTAAGAAACTTTACTCAATAACCATCTCATAGTATGGGGAATTTTGTTACATATGTAAAAGCATGCAAGAAATGTTCTTATTTATAGCTTCTTGATTTCTAAAGAGAGGATGCCATCTGGTTCGAAATCCGGATGTCTTATTTAGACAGAATATTTCTACATGGTACGAACTCGAAAATGATTTTAGTAATTTATAACTGTAATTTGTATCTATTATTCACAAGCTTTAGTTAACAAACTGTATACGCTGTTGACGAGAGTAGATTGTCACACATTACTATTTTGTTGTGTTGCAACAGTTTATTTGTTTGTTTGCTGTTACGCGCAAAGCCACACAATGAGCTATCTGTGCTGTGCCTACCACGGGTATTGAAACCCGGTTTTTGGCGTTATAAGCCTTCAAACCTACCGCGGAACTACGGAGGGGGAGGGGCTGTTGTATTGCAATAATATTTTGATACATATTTACGTCTGTCTTCTTACTTGATGCCAAACAGTTGACAAAAACGACTTCAGCAATGAAAATGAGCACAGAAAACAATTTGGTTAAATACTGCTGATCAAGTGTGTGTTTATTAAGGAAATTAACAGATTATTGAAGAAGTGGTTTTAGCCGTAAAACTATATGTTATAGTAAACGCTTGTCATGACAATGGGCCATGAATACAAACTTAGGCAGCGTTTAGACAGTAGTACTTTTCAAACAGGGTGGTTGGCTTTTGGAATGAGCTGAGTTCAAGAAAAGATTGGATGAATACATGAGTAGTAAGGGGTGGTTAGAGTTGGGAGGTGGAAATGACACCATTGATGAGCTAATAAGCTCCTTTTTTTGTCTCTTTAGAAGTTTATGAAATTATGACATTAATGTTCACAACGTTTTTGTACATAGTGCATTAACACCTTATAACCATACTCAGAACCCACTTGGTGCCAGACTATGTGAACGACTCAGAAGCGTCACTTGTGAATATGTAAACAATACTATTCAAGCATGGGGATTCATTTTCTGTGTAAGACAGTCCTTCACTTACACATCCCACTGTCTCAATTACTGTATAATACACAAACTTGTGGGACAAACAAACCGTCGCCTTGGAGACAGAAATCATGAACATCTGAGTGATTCAAAAAGACAAAACAATGACCATCCATATGGACTCCACTTCAGTAGTCCAGAACATAACAATAGTGATTTCCCTTTAGTGGGATTCAAGAAGCTCCTCTGGACTTCATCAAAAGAGAAATCTAGAAAACTGACAATTTATAAATCAGGTATTTTTCTCTCAAACAGCTTAAATAAACGTTTGTTTTTCATTTTTATAATTTTAACACACATACTTTACCATTTTGTTCAAATTCAAAATTACTCTTTATTTACTTTTTACTTGCATTGTTTCTATTTTGCTATAATTCAACTAATAATTTTCTCATTCATTAAATCAAATAAATCTTTTAAGTAAGGCAATATTTTTAGAATGTCCATATATTGTTACACCTGTTTACTACAGCACATAGTTTATAGTTTAAACTTCCGTTTTAAGTTTGAACTTTCAATATCCTACCGTTGAATCTGTGGAAGGGCATGAGCCCGAAACACTAGCTATACTGAGAAATAAGCCTTTTATAGGCAATATTTAGCCAATTTGTTTTTTTTTTACTTATGTAAACACTATATAAAAGAAATAGAGTAAATTTTTCCTGAAACATTAGACGTACAGAATAATTTGTTAATTAAATGTTTTCTGCTTCTGTTTCACGTGATGGTATTACAATTAATCGAGAAATACACAGAATCCTTACTGTAGCTTTAATTGTTAAAATATATGAACTTTATAAACATTTAATTTCAAATACGAATTAATTAGACAATTCACGACTATTATATTGTTGTAAAGTTTTCTAACACTGAATAATTCTTTTTTCTCTATTCGGTAAAAATAATGCAAATTTCAGTCCACATAATGAAAAGTAACTGTCTTATTTTTCCAAATGAAACTTTTACAACTGACATAATTTCACGATAAACAAGCGATAAGGCTAACTCAAAGTCACTTTCTTTTTAAAATTCCTCATGTCTCTACAGTACAAACTAAACAAAAATGTACAGCACTGAACTGACTAAATTACTTACTCATTGAACAACTCACTAAATAACTCTCTCACTCATTAATTCACTAAGGAATTAACTGACTGAATGACCAACTAACTCACATACCCACCCTCCCCCGTCCCCACCCGATGTTATTTTCCCCAAATATCATGAAAATTCAAGAAGTCGCGTCGCAGCTATACACTCAGGAACTTTTTAGGCGTTGTGCGTCATCCCTAAGACAGGACAAAACTTCCTCTAGTAACCATACAAAACGTCTACATTAAAATACTAAAAATATAAGAATATTCGAGTACACACAATGAGAAACTTTCCATCAAACAACACAAAACCAGTCTTGGATTTACTTCTATCTCATATCAAGTTATTAATATATGGAATGTTATGAGTTTAAAAATAATATACTAGAAATGAATCTTATGTCTAATTTATTTAATAATCTACATTTATATTATGAACGAAGATATTATCTTTTAATATTTTATTTATAAATTGTGATCACATACAACAAAGTTTAAAAATATATATTAAACTACACGTAATAAACTTTATATTTATATGTTTTCAAGTGTTACTAATATAGTCTGATTATGACAGTCGGTTATTTCTTAATTACTTCTACTGGAATTAAGCCAAGGCCAGCTTTTTATTGCTCATCCGTTTCTTATTACAAAATTTATAAATAAAATTTTATCAATATTTTCTTAAAAATACGTAGACCATAATTTTTACCTGTGTTCTTTTGTATTGATATATTTTGTAGAGAAGTCTGTTGAGAAAAATAAATATCGTCAATGGATATAGTGACGTATTAGAAAATGAGAAAAAACTGTACATAAATATTTCTGTACTCTTAAAACGGTATAAAATGTAAATAAAAGTCGTAAAATAATGAAATTATTTTCTTGGGTTTGTTTTTCTTTTAGTTACACATATATAGGTTTTTACAAGAGCTCACTAAACATAACGGAAAGTAACCATAACATAGCCGTTAAATTAATACCTAAGATATACTCTGAGGTTGGCAAGAAGTAGTTAAAAAAGGTATCATATCAGTTAGAAATTAATATCTATAATATATATATTTTTACTGTAATATTTCAACATTTCTAGGCGGCAGCTGATTCATTACGCCATGTTGAAAGGAACCGGCAGTTGTGTGGCGTGTTCTGAGTGTGCTAAACTCTCACTCCGAGACTCGGTGATATGTGACGTTTAAACTTTAATTTGTATTTTGTCCATTAATAACGAAAACCTCATAAAAAAAGTGTGAAAAGGAAATCTCAAATAAAAAAACCAGTTGCTAGTATCAACACATTTAGACTTATAAGAGCTTACATCAGGTTTCAACTGCAAGTCAAGACTTAACTCTGACTGAGTCTCGTAAGAACTAAGAATAGGCCTAAGAGCTAAGTAACGTAACGTTACCAAGACTTTGAAGAATTACGTTATGATTTAACGTAAATAAAGAATTCTGAATGCATAGGTTAAATTATAGTAGACCACAGTAATTATCGTTAAGATCGTAATAAATCTGAACTGGACAAAAGTAACGTTAAGGTTTAAGCCTAATTCGTAACGCCAAACTTACTGTAATTTTTGTTTCTAACAAAAATAAAAGTACCACAATTTATAAACCTGGAACAAGGTGTGGGATTAATAAAAGTCAAAATAAATGTGTCAAAGCACGGTAATGTGATGTTTAGTGTAATTCATAGAACTTCAATAAACATAAATTTTTTAGTCATTTTACTATCTTAATAGTAATAGTATATCAAAATAAGTTATAATAAAAATTATTTCTCTACTGAGCTATAACTATTGATTACATCTTACTTAGGTTATGCCTATGTGTCAGACTTCTTAAGATGAACCTTGCATGTGTGCTAATTTTGGATAAAGTGCACCAGTTAAATACCAGTATTTAAAGACAGCAAATGATATCATTAGTACACCTGGTGGTTTGAAGCACTGCAAATTAATTATGGGTGTTCAGATTTTGCAACGTTTTATTGAGCAGCACTGTCCTGGTGCAAGTGTTCCTGTTGACCTTCTAAAAATTGCTCGTAGTATAGCTGTTCGACGCATTGGAGGTGGAAGATGCAATCCATTGTTACCTTATTATGACCATTTATGTCTGGTAGTAGATGGAGAATGTTGTTTAGATAGACTTTATGGTGGATACTTTTCTGACTGGGTATGTGGTGGACAGTGGAATCGAATGGTCCAGTTCCTGTCAGTGTTAATAGACACAATTCATAACAACAACATAGAGGTGGTGATGTTTTTTAATGGTGGGCTTGAACCACAAAGAATGGATGAATGGGTTAAACAGCAACAAGCTGATCGAAAAAAAATAAATCAAGTAATTAAACATGTAGCAACAAGAGCAACTCCACCCCCAAAAGTTTGGTGGATCCCACCAGTTTGTTTACGTACTTGTCTTAGAATGGCTTTACGAACTCTCAATGTGCCAGTAGTCTGTAGTATGGATGACCATCACCAAGAAGTGATTGCATTCTGCCGAGAGAATAACTTCCACGGGTTATTGGCAGAAGATGCCGAATATATCATTTTTGATCCACCACGGTATTTTTCATCAGAACAACTCAAGCTTACCTACAAGGTATACCAAAAATAAATATTAATTTTTTTCTTCTTTTCGTTAGGTTTCAATAATGAGAAAATCTATTATTGAAAAAAGGTTAAAAATATTGGCAAGGCTTTGTAAAATGTAGCATGATTTTCTTGTAACTTTTTTCTGTGATCTATTTACTTATTATTCATATTTCTTAAACTGTTAACAGTATAAAGTCAGAATTTACTTATATGTGATATGTAAATATTCAAGTTGGTTGTACCTTTTTCCCATAACAGTTGATTTGATCAAGGTAACTTGAGAAAAAATATCTCATTTTGAATTACAAAGTTGATTTACATGTATGCTCTTACATAGACAAAATGTAGCTTAATAAATTTCAAAGAATATCTCAAGAATAGATTTTGTGAGCAGTTCTGAAATATGTAGTGCTTTCCAGTTTATATGGTCATAAATGTTCAGTGTTTTCCCATTTAGAATTTCAGCATATTTAGACGAGGGTAAAGGTGTGGATTTAGTCTACTTGGATGTTCAGAAAGCATAGACCAGGTGCCACATATATAAGTTGGGTCATTGGATCAAAAATGGCCCGAAGAAATTGTAGAGCTGTTATAAAAGGATTTTACTCAAACTAAATTAATGTTGCATGTGGAGCACCACAGGGCTTAGTGTTAAGATCTCTGCTGTGTTTGATTTACATATGATGTAAGTGAAGAAATGGTAAATAAATTGCTTAAATTTGCTGATGTTATTAGGATCTTGAATGTTACTTGGATGTTTCTGCTTTACAAAAGAATTGAAATTATTAGTCAGTTGAGTGAATAAATAATAGATGGCTTTTAATTATAATAAACGCAAGGTAATCCATATGGGTATCATAATTTAATTTATAAGTATAATTTTGATGGGAATAACCTCAACAGTGTTATGGAAGAAAAGGATCTTGGTATTGTGGTTGATCAATCTTTTAAGCAGTGTGCCATTGCTAGTGACAGGGAAAATAGTATTTTATGTTGTATGTATGGAAAAAATATTGAACATAAGCCTAAAGAAGTTATAATTTCATGGTATAGGTCAGTGTTTCTCAACCAAGGTTCTATGGAACCCTCAGGTTCCTTGACAGACATCCAGGGGTTCTACAGAATGCAAGAGTTCCACATATTCTAGTACATAAATACATACTAGTCGCATAATTGTAATCCAACTACACCATATTTCTGTATTAGTATAGTGGATGTCATAATGATACAACATAACAATAAGTCACTGCATTGTTTTAAATTAGTGAGCGAGACTAGGTACAAACAGATGTTTGAGTTGTAAACTTTTATTATTTGAGAGAGGATGCTTCTCATTGCATGTGTATGTATCTGAGTAATTGGCTCAAGAAATATTTCATGCTTTGCATGTATGTGTGTGAGTATATAACTGTATTTAACATACGTACTCTGTCTGGAATTATTGATATATTATTGCAGTAATGTTTTTTGTAATGAACACTGTGAAGGGTTACGTGACACAAATTTGATGCCAGAAGAATTTTGTGGATTTAAAAAGGTTGAGAACCACTGGTATAAGTCACTGGTTTGGCCTCCTTTGGAATATTGTATTCAGCTTTAGGCTTCTCTTATCGACACATTCGACGGGTTTGTATTTTTAATGGAAGAAGCTTACACTTATTATTTGATATTCAGGGTTATACTTCCAAACCATATTCCACCACTTTAATAAAACATTATACAGAATATTATAGCCTCAAACAGTTTTAAAACACTTGAATCAATTCACTTGTAGTTCTGCACTCCCAAGAAAATAATTATTGCTTTAGGCCTTTTTTTCCAAGCAAAAAATTTGTTTTTAATATTTTCAGTGGTTGTAATGGAGTTTATTAAATTTTTTGCTGGTTAATGTATTTTCTAATATACATGTATTCAGTAGTTGCAGAAATTATAGATGAAAAAAACATAGGTAGTTATCACAGTCAAGCTCCATTTCTGACACTTCTTTTATGAGCGAACTTCAATACAAATATATATCCAGTATAACTGAAAGCAGTGAAATACCAGTAACCATTGATAGGCTGAGAGATGGCTCAACTTAATATTTGTTAAAGTTGCGTCTCGTTCCATTCTCTTACTTTGATTTGATAACAGCTACTTGTCACTCTATTCTCACATTATTGTGTAGGCCTGTAATCACTAAATAATGACTTCTGAACTAACTATTTGTGAATAAGAAATAGATTCAAAATGTTTGTAAAATATTATCACTCTGTGTTTGTAACCGCTGTCGCTTTAGCACATTGATATACTTTCTAACATAATGACAACAAAAGACCATTTGGTCCTCAAAGAAGACTGTCCTTGCACACCCACCACCTTGAGAAAAGTTAAAAATTTAAACACGCTTATACGAAATCATTGGTTCCATTTCTTAAGCTACTGTAAAGTGCTTGTTTTCACTGCTGCCATTAGCATCTCATCTCATAAGTCAGTCACCATGTTGAAAAATAAAATTATAGTAACTGTAGCCTGGTCTGTTTTTTCAAAATCCTTTATGTCTTCTTTAGAATATAGCACACAAAGAAATTAGAGGCTTTTATCATATCAATCCCCTGGATAATCTTTTACAACTTCAAAAGAAAACAAAAGATATCTTGACATATCCCTCTAAGATAACTCTTCCATCCACAGAATCATCCTCGTAGCCCTCTCTGAACCCTTTCCAATAAGTCAGTATTTTTTCTTAGATAAGGAGACCAAAACTGTATACAGTATTCCAACGTTTCCAGTGATTTGTTTAGATACTTATCTAATTTATCTTGTAATCAGTGTCTAAATATACCTTAAAATTCTATTAGCCTTATTACTAGCAACAGAGCTATGCCCAGATATGCATAGCTTCAAAGGTTATGCCAAAATCCTTTTGTTCATTCATGAGTGAGTTCACATCTGTATTAAATTTGGGATCCAAATTATAATAATTCAAATGCATTACCTTTCACTCTGGCAAATGACATTTGCCAGATACTTAATCTTCGTAGCTACTATTTTCTTTGGTATTTTGTGAAAAGCTTTTTGAAAATCAATGTACACCAGGTAACATCCAGGTAACAAGTAACATCATCAAGAAAAGATAACTTAGTAAGGCAAAAGTTTCATTTGGTGAATTCATGTTAGCTCTAATCTGTGCTATATCCTTGACCTGCTTTAAAAAAAACCTTGTGGCCCTTTGCCTTAACTGTTTTTAATCTCCTGCTTTCCACCAGTTGATCTTCCATGATGTTAAGAAAACAAGTGGGATCAAAAAATTAATTTAACAAAAATATAAAACCCTATAACTTGTGTGTTTTCAAAAGGTGGATCTTTCTTCGTAGTTTACCTCCAATGAAGACAAGTACACAAGTTTATCTTAAATGTTGAGGATTTTTCATTTAGAGTTTCAGCTACTAAAGAATACCTTTGAAGAAAACTTTTGAATAGCCATCCAAGTATACTAAGCCTAGCATTTAAATCAATTACATTATTTCCTATAGAATACTTCTAGTCACAAATAATGCTAATACCTTCTCTTGTAGAAACAGAATAGTAGTAGAAAATATTTAAAAGCTTAGGTAGCCAATTAACCATCTAGTCTTCAACAAAAACTTGTCATCAGTATTCTTTAAGGGTCCAGTCTGCATTTCAATATTTTGATTACCTTTAACGTAATTTAAAAAAAAACATCCTCGATATTAGTTTTAACATTATCAGCCAACTATTTTTCATAGCTCGTGGACTTATTTTTTAACCACATATCTGTCTTTCCTACAGTCCTGTAAATATGCCAGTGTATTTGACAGTTTAAACTTAACAGCATTTATCCTTGTTTGTCTCCTATATGTCTTTATAAACCAGTTAGATATGATCTTCTCTGTTATCATTTTCCTCAATATAAGAATATGCCTCTTGAATTAAATGCAATTTATTTTCATAACATTCCCACATAATGATTAACTCCTTATCTTAATTCACTAAGGATAAATTTTCTCTGTTATCCTCAAAATTGCCCCTCTAAAAATTAGGAACTAGAGTTTCAAATATTTTTAACTCAACGTTCAGCAAAACATCAAACCTAAGTATACAACGATCATTCCTACCCAAATGTTCTCCCACTTCAGCTCTAGCAACCATATCCTCATTAGTAGTTAACAACGAAGCTAAAATAACATCCTCTCAGGTTGGTTCTCCGACAGTTTGGTATAGAAAGCCATCATGAATCACTTCAAGAAACTTGACTGCACGCAATCCTAATCAATGTTTCTAAAATTTAAGTCTTATGTAATAATTATATAATAATTATTACATCACTGTTATTATTATTAGCAAAAAACTGATATCACTATTATTATTATTAGCAAAAACTGATAACACTATGCAATTTCTCATTGATGTCATCTGTCTGATCAGGTTGCCTGTAACAACTACCATTTAAAAACTTGCTACCTTTGAAACCTTGTAGGTTCAACCTTTTCACTACCACTTTTTATTTCTTCATTCCCAACAGGATACATTTTGCTTCCTTTTATAAAGAGCCACTAACTCTTTTAAAAAGTATCGGTATTAGATAACTTGTAATGTGAAAATTGAGAATAATTCCTATTATTACTCTTCTCCAGTTCTAATTAAGTTTCACTAATTCCTGTTATATCATATTCTTCCATTTCCGTAAGAGCCCTAAGCTCATCCATTTTGTTCCTTATACTCCTAACACTAGAATAATAACATCTAAGCTTATTCTCGAATCTACTGTGTTTACCTTTAAATGTGACAGAATTAGCTTTACAGTTGTTATTTAAACTTATTGTGCTCTAAATCTCCTTTTTTTCAAATGCCTTGCACTAACTATCCCATCATTTTGTTTATTCCCAGCTCTCCCAGCTTAGTTGAAACTCTTTTTATTGAACATATTTACCCCAAAAATCCTACTGCTTAACTTTATTTTAAGTGGAACTCATAACTAGCATAGCCTTATCCTAAAAACTACCCTTCGGGTTCAAACAGCCCACTTGTCACTCAGAGTATATCCTTGATAATTTTGCAGTTTAACCTTTGGACCCTGTTAAATAACTCATTCCTACATCCAATGTCAGGAAGCACTCCTGAAAGGGCCATACATCTGTTTCTATCCATAAACCTCTGAAAGAGGTTATTAAACCTTTTAAGCAACTATTCTGGTTTACAGTTTTGACCATCGTTTGCTTTTACATGCACTACAATAAGAGAATGCTCCTTTGAACCAGAAACTAACGTGTAAACAGATTTTAATATCCTAGTTCTATGCTCCTCACTATAAAGAAGTTATCAGTATATTTAATAAGAGAGTCATCCCTGCTTTGTATACCTTTTTTTGGTAACCTCATTCATCTTTGCAAGTAGTCAAAGATTCAAATTTATTGGAGACTAGTATACTTGAATGATAGACGAACTTATCTCTCTAACCTTAACTTTTTTTTACTACTAATGTTCGATGATGTGGAACCCACTTTGAGACTAATAATGGTTGGAGACGGCTTGAATGGGTAGTGAAGAAAAACTTTAATATAAGTTTAACATAACAGCAAATGTACAACGTTTCGACAAGGTTTTGTCATCATCGAGTGCCCATCATGTCGAAAAAAACCTTGTCGAAACGTTGTACATTTGCTGTTATGTTAAACTTATATTAAAGTTTTTCTTCACTACCCATTCAAGGCGTCTCCAA